CCCCAGCACCCCCAGCCCCGTGAGACCAAGGACGGCTGGGATGTGCCACCGTCGTGTTACCTCTTGGCCAAGACCCCTCTTTGGGGCAGATTCGGGGCCTCATCGCCTTCAGGAACCAGCAGGACAGGCTGCTTCAAGCCACATCTACTAAAAATGAGAAAAAAAATAAGGAAAAGCACCCCAAAAAGCCCCCAAGAGCAGAAGGGTTTGTGTTCCCAGCTTCATACAACCCCCCGGGACTGGTCTCATCTTTCCCCACCATCACTCACCAAACTGGTCCCCTCCAGACACAGACGGGCAGGATCAATCCCCCCAGTTATTCCACCGTCACCCCCCAAATTTGGGGTACCGTTACCCCAATCCTCTTCCCTACCCCTTCCCCGGCTCTCTTACCCCGACGAGGTGCAAGCTCCGGGCTCTCTCCAGGCTGGGATCTGGCCACGGCCCGGGGGACACCTCGTCCTTTATAATGTCCCCGAGGGAGGTGGCACCTCCAGGGAGGTGGAGCTCCTCCACGCCAACGGGACCCATCCTGCCCACGTCAGCTCCCCGCACCTGGAAGAGGGTGCAGGATGAACCCAGCGCCTGGTCCCCGCAACGAGCATCTTATCCCAGCCCTGGGGTGGTAAGGGACCCAAAATCACCCCAAAATTACTGGGGAAAGTGACTGCCAATGTGGATGGGTGACCTTGAGCTGGATGGGATGAAGAAATTGGGTGGTTAAGCCCAGCCTTGGCGCTCAGCCTGTCCCAGGGTGCAGGATGTGAACCCCAACATCTCCTGCAGCAACGGGGATGCGTCACCGAGCAGGGATGCTGCTCCAGGCTGACCGGAGCCTCAGCATCGGGGTGTCGAGGTCCCAAATAGCACCAGGAGCTGATAACTGGGGTATTTTTTTTCACATTTGTCTCCCCAAGATGCATCCCAACCCTGCCCACGGGGGTCCAGGCACCCCCAAATTGCCCGTAGTGGCTCCCGGATGGCGTTTTTCCCCTCCATCCCGTGCGGCAGCGGGACAGCAGCCGGGGTTGAGCCACCGGGTCGTCACACGGCAGATGCTGAACCCCATTTCCAACCCATTAACCGGGGTGGTCCCCAGGGAGCAGGACTCACCGGCTGCCTGACCCCGGGGGGGGTGACGAGGACCCGGCTGCCCTCACCGCCGGCCACCGCGGCCACGCTAAGTGGCAGATTTCGAAGCAAGGCAGAGGGGACAAGAAGAGGTCACGGCTTTCGGGCTCCAGGCTGGCTAATTCCCAATTAAGCAGGCGCGGGGAGGGACCGGGGTAATGGTCTCGGTAGATGTCAGATTTGTCTGCAGCCAAGGAATTTATTCAAGGCAGGAAACTCTTAATTGTGGTAACGAAGGCGAGAGGTCGGGGTGAGCAGGACCCTGCACGATTGCATCAGCCTTCGGCCCCATCCTCGGTGCCGTTTCTCCGAGGGGGTCCTGCTGATGACATGGTCAAGCCCTGGGCGCAGCTCCAGGGGAGAAGCAAGGGGGAGATTTGGGGTTTTCAGGCTGCCTAAGTGCTGTTAGATGAAAGCAGGCGAGGATGGGCTCGGTGTCACCGTCATCCCAGAGCAGAACAAGCCCAGCGTTAAGCATTCCCCCAAATACCAAGCAGAGATGGGTGGAAAGGACCAACATCGCGTTTCCCACCCCAGATGCTCCTGGAGGAGGATACAGGTTTGGTTTCCCACCTCAGATGCTCCTGGAGGAGGATATGGTTTGGTTCAACCCCCAGATGCTCCTGGAGGAGGATAGGGGTTTGGTTTCCCCCTCCAGATGCTCCTGGAGGAGGATAGGGGTTTGGTTTCCCACCTCAGATGCTCCTGGAGGAGGATACAGATTCGGGTTCCCCTCTAGATCCTCTTGGAGGAGGATGAGTTTGGTTTCCCCCTCAAGATGCTCCTGGAGGAGGATACAGGCTTGGTTTCCCCCTCCAGATGCTCCTGGAGAACGATACAGGTTTGGTTTTCCCCCCCAACATCCTCCTGGAGGAGGATACGGGTTTGGTTTCCCCCCACCAGAACGGATTTGACGCCAAGGGCTGTACAAAGCCCCTGCTCACCCCATTCCTGGCAGGACGTGTCCCACCAGGCCTACCTTCATCCCTACCCAACCCAGGTCAGCGGGTGGGACAAGCCACAGCTCGGCAGCCCAAAGGCGTTGACAGAGAAGGGACTCGAGCCCCAAACAGCATCCGCAACCTCCGCACGCTTCCCCCCACCTCCACGGCCAGAGTCATCACCAAGGAGAAAACCAAGACCTTGGCCTTGACCTCACATCCTCGACCTCCAGCTATTAGCAGAGCCCTTCGGTGTGGAAAGCAATGCCTTGTGGTTTTTAAGGGAAACCAGTGACGCCAGTGCCGGCATGTCTAAGTAGGAGCCGGCACTATATATACACGACCGCTCGCCGGGAGGAGAAGCCGAAAAGCTTCCCGACCCCGCAGCCATGCCCTGCAAGGCGCTCGCCGTCTGCCTCCTGGGGCTCCTGGCTCTCTCCTCCGCTTGCTACATCCAAAACTGCCCCATCGGGGGCAAACGCGCCGTCCTGGACATGGACATCAGGAAGGTACGTCCCGGCGGGTTGGGAGACCTCCTAACCCCAGCCCTTCCTTCTCCCAACCTTCCCGACGCTCCGGCGGGGAAGATGTTGGCAGAAGGGAGGAAAAGACCAGGGGAAAGGCTCAACCCGGGTGCACTTTCCCAAATAACTCTCTCCCGCACCTTTCTTTCTCCCTCTTCCCCGAGCAGTGCATGCCCTGCGGTCCCAGGAACAAGGGCCACTGCTTCGGACCCAACATCTGCTGCGGAGAAGAGCTGGGCTGTTACATCGGCACCTCCGAAACCCTGAGGTGCCAGGAAGAAAACTTCTTGCCGACACCCTGCGAGTCGGGACGCAAACCCTGCGGCGGCGGCAGCGGAGAGAGCTGCGCGGCCCCCGGCATCTGCTGCAGCAGCGGTGAGGGCAGCGTCGGGTCCGCATCCCTCGTCGGGTCCGCATCCCTTGTCACGGGGGGCCTCACACACACCAGAAGGAATTGAGGGTTACGGTATAAAAGCCGGAGGGGGGACGTTGCCCAAGGGACCTTCTGTGTCCCATCCATCTGCCCATCTGTCTCCCCAACAGCTGGCGCCACCCCACTCAGGACGGACTTGATGCCGACCCCACGGAAGGTGTTAACGGACCGTGAGGTTTCAGGGAAGGGGGAAAAGCAGACAGCAACCAAATTTAGGGGGCTGAGCAAGTGCCAGCACTCCTGTGGTGCACGGCAGCTCATGTCCCCCTCCTGCTTTCATTCCCGTTTTCCAAAAATCCCAGCCTCCTCCCTACATTAGATCCTACCAGAGACCCTACTACAAATCCTGGGGAGCTACAGGGCACAAAGCGACCACGATCTCGCCCGGTGTTACTAAAAACCAGGACTGGGGGCTCTCCGAGGGTTGGTTTGTGCCGTCTCATTTCACGCGGTGCTCTCCCCTCTTCTCTCCCCGCGCAGAGGGCTGCGTGGTGGACTCATCCTGCGACCAAGAGATGCTCTTTGCGTAGACCACCCGGGAGAGAAGGACCTGCAGGATCCCGTATCTCTCGAGTTGTACCAGCCTGGCATCACGGCGAGAACAGACGAGCGAAAAGTCTGCGACTCAGATTTAAGTAATGATCTTAATCAGAAATAAAACTTGTACAGAAAAATAAAAAAGTCTGGTGGTTTTTGTGCGCTTGAGGCGCTTAGGTACGGATTCAGGAGGGCTGGCTGGAGAGAAAAAGCTATTTTTAGGGAAGCGGAGAGAAAAAGCAGGGATTTCAGGTCGATTCTGGTGTTTTATCCAAATGCGGGAGGGCAGAGGGACCTGCGGGCAGTCCGCCTGGGCTCCGGCCGAACCGCAGCAAACTCCAGGCTGGTGTCTGGCAGCCCAAAACCCAGGGCAAAGCTGAGAGTGCAGCTCGGTCTGCAAGGCCACAAATAAGCCAGAACCGCCAGAGGACCCAGAGAAATTACAGTATTGCCCACAACTTAAGCCCCAGGTGGTAAGTAAAACAAGGCGTAAGATGGGGAAAAGGAGACACTTAAAAGCCAGCATCATTTAGATGTTCTCTGCACATCTTCTCATTTAGCCACACCAACCGATGTGCAAAGGAGGGTTTAAAGTGTGAACAGAACGACAGGTCCCTCCACCACGGCAGAAACCAGAGGAACAACAAATTATTTCCCCCCAACAACAACAAAAAGCAGAGGCTCAGTGTTTCCTACAAAGCCATTCCGACCTCATTTTCTTTCAAAAGCACCTAGAAGGGTCGACACGCAAACGGTGCCAGGGCTACACCGGGGAGCTCAGAGCCAGGATCTGCCTCAGGACCGTTCCCGTTTTTTCCCCCCCTACCCCGACACGTGCTTCGTGTGAAAGCAGGAGGGATCCACACACGTGGGAGGTGGAATCGCAGAGAGCGAGAGCAACAGCAGCTTCGCCGCCACCTCACCAGGCTGAGACAGACTGCTGCTGGCTCTGCAGCCCAACTTTCTCCCTCACCCTTTTTCCCGCCGGCGTTAACCCTTCAGAAGAACTACAGCCAGACCCACAGGCTTTCTCCAACAATTCTGCGGTCGATTTATACATTAAAAGGAAGAAATCGGCTCATAAGCGGAGCCTCTGGACAGAAACCAGGCCAGCACCCTCGGTCCCAGGCCGGGGCCGCTAAGACAACACTGTCCGTTTGGCGATCCGCCCATCCTTGTCGATGGCAAAGTTGTAGTTGCGAGGGTTGTCCAGGCACTCCTCGATCCGCGCGTCCAGGTTCTCGGGCGTGATGAAAGTTTTGGCTTCCTCCTGAAGGAAGGACAAGCACCGGCTCTTAACACACGTTAGTGGAGGAGTCGCTACAAACTGCTGGAGCCTGCAGAGCTCGTGGATCTCCGAGATGCCACCAGCATCATCAGGATCTCTGCAGGAGCCGAATCCTGAATGAAGAAACCTTTATTCTCTCACTCAGGATTATTCCATCCTGTTTTCAGAGCTCTCACTCAACCTCTATCCCATCCACATGCTGTCAACACTCCTGGAAGGTGCTGACACTTGTGTTCTCAGCTACCGACACAAAAATCTCCGGAAAATAAGCCTACGGCTTCCACGTCACTCCCACGGGTTGCTGTCAAATCTCTCACGGGGCCTGCTGGCAGCGTTCTCCCCAGGAGGCACCAGCTGCTCTTACCTGCAGCTGGAGAACCTCCTTCTCCTTCTCCTTCAGGAAAGCCTCCATTTTCCTGGCCTTGTTCTCCGCAACCTGTAACTTCCGCCTCCTCTCTTCTTCCTCTTCTTTCCTAATTCTTTCCACTCTGCCGTACGGAAAGGAAAACAAAACAAGAAGGCTTTGGTGAATGCTCACGTTCTGCAGGGTGGCACTTGAGGGAGATGCAGTAATCCCTCGGGATGCAAAGCTGTCAAGTTTGAGCACAGCCAGAACAAACGGGAAGAAGTGGAGCAGCCGTGCTGGGGAAGAGAGCCCGTGTTGTCCCCAGTGTGGGGACAAAGGGAAATCGCCTCCTCTCATGAGAGAAAAATTAATGCAAAACCTTAACGCAAAAGCTTTCAAACAGACCGGCACTGACGCGTGTGCCGTGGACCCGAGACCTAGAGGAGTCTGGTTCTGTTTGGGAGCTCCAAGTCGGAGCACATGGATGCGGAAGCTCGAGTGCTCTGTGACGGGCCAAGGGACAGCACAGACGGGTTTTTCCCTTCAACCTTCTCCTGCTTCTGAAATTCAGAAGATGCTGATCTTCTTGGAAGCACTGACACACTTCCCGTGTCTGACCGGAGGATGGCTGCCTGGGAGTAGCACGGGAGGGAACACGGAGAAACTTCTCCTCCCGATGACACCCACCTCCGCAGGAGAGCGGGAGGTTGTCCAGAGCTCAGTAACTTGCCCCTCAGCAGTGAGAGGTGCTGGAAACACTGCCGCTGCATATGCAGATTTACTTAAAAAATGTCATAATTTAGGTCAAGTGCCTTTGTAACAATTAAGCCTGACTCTAATTAACCTGGGTGTTGAATTTAGTTTTGCATAAGTAAAAGGCAAAGCCAGGAAGGGAAGCGGCCCCCCAGCTTCGCGTGGGGCCGGGCTGACCTGCGTGCCCGCTGTCGGGCATTCTCCGCGTCGTTCCAGGCCATCAGGCGCCGGTGTTCCTCCATCAGCTCCGCCGAGTCCTCCTGGGACAGCATCGCCTCCCGCTTCTTCTGCAGCGCCTCGGCCCTGAACTCAGCCCTGCCGGGAGGGGAGGGTGCTGAGCTCCTGCCCAGGGCTGGGCACCTAGACAACCTCCCAAATCTGCCCCATAGCAGAGCCAGCCCCATCACCCTCACTCTCCCTCACAGCAGCCTCACAGACCCACATCCAGCCCCCCAACCCACCTCGGC